TCAGCCCCACCGGGCCACCGCGCTTCCCGGGTACCCACATCCCCTGGATGTGCTCCCAGGGTCCCTTCTTCTGTCTGGCTCCTGGGGTGCCCGGTGCCCACCCTTCTGTCTGGCTCCTGAGGTGCCCGGTGCCCACCCCGTGGCTCTCACCGCAGTGCTTCTCATCGGAGCCATCGGTGCAGGTCTTGGTGAAGTCGCAGGCCAGCTCTTCGCTGATGCAGTCCCCACTGTCACAGGCCACCTCCCCAGCAGCGCAGGAGCCCGCACCCGCCCGGCTCGGCAGCGTCATCGGGGTCTTCTCTGTTGGAGAAACAGCCCAGGATGGAGAGCAGCGGTGAGGGGGCCTGGCAGCATCATTGGCATCACCCCTTCAAGCTGCGGACCCCTGTCCTTCAGCGTCGCCCTGATTCTCCGTTTCCCCCAGCCCTGCTGCCACCAGACAAAGGGGATGGAGGTTTTGGCACAGGGGTAGTGTCACAGCTGCAGGATGAAGACCCCAGACAACCTATGCAAATGCCATGCTTCACCCAGGATGGTCACCGTGATGAGCAGAGGGATGGGCAGACCCCACAGGGGGTCCTTTAGGGATGGTGCCATGGGCACAAGACACCTCGAGACCACTGCTCATGCTGGAGGAAGACAGTGGTGGGGGACAGCTGCCCCCCCCGGCTCACCGTGTACCCGCACACAGCCCGGAGACAGGATCAGGTCATCGATGGCCACAGTCCCGGTGCCGCCGGCCACCCCCTCAAGGATCTGCAGGGAAGCACCACGTTGGCAATGTCAGCACAGGGTCAGGCACAGTGTGGAGTGGAGGAACCCAGCTTCTGTGATGGGACAGCACGGGCTTTCCATGGGAAGAGGCTCAGGGGGAGCAGGGGCGATGCTGAGGCTGACAGGAGTGCGTGGGTTGGGGCTGGCAGGGCTGGGGGCTACCCCTGCACAGAGCTGTGGGCTGTGAGGGAAGCACCACGTTGGCAATGTCAGCACAGGGTCAGGCACAGTGTGGAGTGGAGGAACCCAGCTTCTGTGATGGGACAGCACGGGCTTTCCATGGGAAGAGGCTCAGGGGGAGCAGGGGCGATGCTGAGGCTGACAGGAGTGCGTGGGTTGGGGCTGGCAGGGCTGGGGGCTACCCCTGCACAGAGCTGTGGGCTGTGGCTGCCCGGGGTGGCATCAGGGTGCCCTTGGGGTGCCCTCCAAGGGGTTGGGTTGTGTGGCTGACCATGGGGGGACAGCAGACAGGACAGTGGGAAGGCATGGGGTGACATGGGATGGAGGAAGAAAGTGGTCCCTGGGCTGGGGGGATTTGGAGATGTGAGCACAGGCACATGAGGGTGACACTCGCCAGCACCAGAGGCTCAGCTCTGGTATCTGGTTCCCAGCTCAACCCTGACCCCTGGTCCCATGGGTGCACCCAGGGGGTGGCCCTGTGCCCCTCGCCCCGCAGGCAGCCCAGCTAACCTTGAAACTTGTGGTCACGTTGAAGTCCACTCTCTCCCGGACCCAGCAGCTGCCCAGGTCTCCTGTCCTCTCCCTCACCAGGTGCTGCACGGAGTTGACCACATAGGAGATGCTGAGGCTGCTGGTGGGAGAGCCGTGGAGGTGGCAGTACAGGACGAGCTGGGGACAGAAAAGGGGTGAGCATGCCCCGAAGACATGGGGCAGGGTCACACAGCCCCCCTGCACCCCAGAGCGTGGCTGCTGCCCCATGGGATGCTCACAAAGGTAGGGCTGGAGAAGCTCAGAGCCCTCACCGGACATCAAACCACTCCCAAAGACCCACTGCCCTGCTCCAGTAAAGGGAAAACCACAGCCCCACGGATGGGGACCCCACCACCCGTCACCACTGCACCCACACAGGCTGGGACATGGGGTCCCGGCTGTGACTCACGGAGCAGGAGTTGGTGGCCTGGAAAGTGGGGCTGATGAGCTGGGCCATGCCCCTGGTCCCCGTGGCTGAGGCATTGCCCACATGGAGGAACGAACCTGCAGGAGAGGGCGGGAAGGGGCTGAGCGGTGCCGGGCTGCGGGTGCAAGCTGCTGTTTTCCTGGCACAGCCTTGAGTGTGACAGCCCAGGGGCTGCAGGGCATCGTCCCACCCGCGGTGAGGAGTGCCGGTGCCCGGCCACGTACCTGCCAGGCTGTTATTGCTGTGGTCCCGGGTGGGGACACCGTATGCGGTCCCCAGCTTCAGGCTCGTGTTCCTCTCCCACACCAGCTGCCCGGCCTTTGCCTCCCAGTCGCAGAGGTTTTGCTCAAAGGAGCAGCGGGTGAAGGACTCTGCATGGAGGGAGAGCAGAGACCCAGGGATGGGGGTCTCAGCCCTCCCACCCCAACAAGGAGGTCCTGATGCCACCACCCCTGCAAAACCCTCAGGACAGAGCTGGGGTGACCCCTGCCAGCCCCACAGCCTGGCCCTCAGCCCACCCGTGTGGTCGGGGGGCGGTGGGCAGGACCCTCTCCCCACGGCCAGGGATGCTCACTGCACTGCGGCGCGTTCTCGTCCGAGCCGTCCCCGCAGTCGTCGGTGCCGTCGCAGAAGCGGTGCCACGCCAGGCTCTCCTCTGTCTCACAGAGCTGCTGCCCAGGCGCTGGGGTGGTGCGACACATCGTCACCTCACGCTGGCCCCACAGAGACCCCAGCACAAGCTGGGCTCCCCCCATATTCCCTCTTCAAGGGGCTTTCACTTCCCACCCCATGCCCAGACCAGGGCAAATGCCCTCAAGGCTCAGCACAAGGTGTGTGAGCTCCCCTGGGTGCCAAGCCCACGCTCAGCCCAGCTCCCGTCTCATCCCAGTGGATGTGGGGCTCACCCTGCAAGCCGCAGTTCCTGAAGATGATATCGTCCAGCGCCAGCTCTGCCCCGCTCGCCGGCGGTTGTGTCAGGGAGAACGTGAGCTGCCACCGGGAGGATGGGGTAGCACCAGCTGAGCATCTGCCCCAGCATCACCGGTGCATCTTCCCAGCCCCAGCTCATGGGGATGGTGCCCAGGTACCCACACAGCCCTGTCTCACCTGGAATGGCTCCGTGACCCGGCCGGGGTAGGCGACCAACTGGTGCCAGCCCTCGCCTCTGTGCTGGGGGCTCTGCCACAGCTCCACCACTTCTTTCCCATACGCCATGGCCAGGCGCAGCACCGGCTGCTCCGTCCCGTTGAGTCCTGTGGGGAGCCCCAAAACGTAGCTCTTGGCACCCTGGGGTACCCACAGGGGTGAACCAAACCCTGCCAGCTCTGAGAACCAGAGCCAGGACCCCTGGGTCCCACCAGCTCTGCTTGCAGAGCATAGAAGAGGTGAGCGGGATGGCAAGGACCCATCTTGAGATGCCGGTGGCTCCATCCCTGCCATGAGGGGACCCTCCCTAGTGCCCCCCATATTTTTTTCCCAGTACCCCAAGACCCCTCTGTGCCCACCACAGGCACCCTCACCACTTCCTGAGAGGTGGTACCAGGCCATGATCTCGCACGTGGCAGCTGCTTCCTGCATCACCGGGGACCTGAGCCAGGCTGTGGCCGTGGTCTTTGCCGGGGGTGACACGGTCACCATGAACCACCCTAGAGAGGGCAGAGCAGAGATGGGGCTGCAGCCCCATGGGGTGGACCTGAGGCTGCGGCCAGCACCCACCATGGGTCTGCTGCGTCCCCTACACCCTACAAGGATGGGTGTCCCAGCACCCTGGCTTCAGGACACCCATGGCCCAGAGTCCATTCACCAGTTGAGCGGCTCCCACTTACCCAGGTCGGTGCCCACGGTGTGGTCAGAGTGGGGTCCCGTGCCCCATGCGGCCAGGTTGGCCTGGCCCCGCACCCATTTGTAAGCTGAGGTGCTCACGTCCTGCCAGCCACAGTCGCCTTCCTCGAAATCGCAGCTGAAGGGGACGCCCAGCACCGCTGAGCCCTGCAGGTACCCTGAGATGGGGCAAACAGGGTGTCAGGGCAGAGCTGGGTCCATCCTGGGGCCCTGCACTCACAACACCCCCAGCTCCATCGCCTGCCCTCACCCCAGGAGCAGGGCCTGGCAGCAGGGGTGGGGTTTGGGGGGCAGGCACCCACCACACTGGTTCTCATCGGAGCAGTCGCCGCAGTCACAGACGAAGTTGCAGAGCTGCTCGGCTGCGCTGTCGCAGGTGTTGACGACCGTGGCCATGCTGGGGAGGACGATCCTGGCTACGGGGGAGAGACAATGGGGCTGAAGACCCACAAAGAGCAGGGCATGGTGCCCATGGCAGGTGACAGAGGGCACACATGGCCTGCAGGTGACATTTGTCTGGGGTCCCTGGTTTGGGACTCTGCTGAGCTCTCAGTGCCATCATCCCTTGGACAGGACCCCCCACCACTGCCAGCCCTGCTCCCATGCACCCTCAGGGTGCCAGAGCCCATCAGGGCTGGGGTGCTGCCCCTCCAGCCTGGTGTATCACACCCCTGCTCTGAGTCCCAGCCCCAATATGAGGGAAATAGGAAAATTTGGGCATTTTCTTTCCCACGCTGAGAAAAGCCATTGGCAATACTGAGCATGGCGCTGGTGACTCCAGCAACCACTTCCGTGGACAATCCCGGGCTGGCCTTCACCAGCGGAGCCCAGAAGGAGTTTGCTGGGCTGTACCTGCCCAAGTCCCATGAAAGCAGCGCAGCCTCCCCAGCTCCAGGGGAAGCAGAGATCCCCATAAGAGCCCACATTGGGGGGGGAACGCAACACAGCCCCCAGCACCGCAGCCCCTTCCCTTCCCGCAGCACAGC